TTACCACTTAAAAAAACATAAAAAGTTAACCTGGTTGGTAAAAAATTCATCTTATTAGTCACATAGATCAAAACAATAAGAACATATTACCGTGTTGTGCCTTTATGCTCCATGAATGAGATCCCATACTCTCTCCATAGAGTTAAGACATTTTTCCTACATGATTAACAACTTGTGCTAGGTACCCAATCTTCATTGGGTCCTTGGGAATTATTAAAACCTTGATTGCATTTAGGCATCCATTGAAAGGCACCATTAGAAACATGGAGTTTCCTAACTCTGCACTTTGCAATAATGTGTCCCTTTTTACAACAGTAATGACAATACAAGTTAAGAAAAGATAACCATTTGCTGTTTGGTTCCTTTTTAACATAATTATACAGATTATGATATGGTAAGTCATACTTGGAAGTATCTATAGCAAAGGTAACCTTGGGTTGCAAAACCTTATCAAGTTTAGCTTTAAGAGTCCTTGACTCCTTTTGCCAAATGCGACATGTTTCATAACTAAAATTCCACAAAGATATAGGGTCCTCATCTTGTCCTTATAGAATATTTTAAATAGATTTCCTTAGTGCTTCCACATGTTTGTCATTTTCACCAATCTTAGCTTCTAAACGAGAGATGATTCTCTTGTTTGAAGCTAATATCTTAAAAGCATCTATGGCTTGTCTTTGTAGCTTCTCAAAGGTTTATTGAAGTTGAGAAAAAGCTAAGTCATGAGAGGCTTGAAGTTTAGAATGGCTTACAACCTTTTTCTTTCTTTGTTTGCCATATAGCAAAGTTTGACCGATTCATCACTTGACAAATCACCTTCGCTTTCCCAAGCAGCATAAGCTCTTCTAGCATTTCTAGATGTTTTGTGACAACCTCTTTCATTCTTAATTTTTGGACACTCCAACTTAAAGTGACAGGGTTTACCACAGTTGTAACATTTACTTCGTAACTTTCCCTTTTTACTCCCATCTTCTTCTTTTGAGAAACATGATAACCTTCTTGATTTATCACGGATCTTGTTGGGATACTTATCGCCATGTTTTGACATGTATTTATTGACTCGCTTTCTGAATAATCTCATATCTTCTTCGTCGGATTCATTGTCATCTTTAGGTTCACTATCCATTTGCTCGTCTTGAGAAGGCCTTGAGCTAGAAGTATTTAGAGTAATGGACTTATTTGCTTCTTCTTTGTCTTTCCCTTTTTCACTTTTTGATCGCTTTTTGTATTCCTTCTCCTATTTTGCCAAGCAAGTAAGCTCTTGCTCATGTTCTTCCAACTTACCAAACAAATTCGTAAGATCAAGCGACTTAAGATCATTTGCTTCTTTAATAGCGGTGACCTTTGGTTATCGTTCCCTACTTAAACACCTTAAAACTTTGTTTGTAGCATGTTCATTGGAAACATGATTACCTAGTGGATTTAATTGATTTATAAGATGAGTGAACCGTTTTCGCATATCCGCAATGGTTTCACCATACTCAATACGAAACATCTCAAACTATTGATTTAATGTGTTTATCCTAACTTGTTTGACATCATTAGTACCCTCATGGGAAATCTCTAATGTGTCCCACATAGCTTTGGCAGTCTCACATTTAGAACCGCGATAAAACGCATCAAGTGAGAATGTTTTTCGCTTTTCAATCACATGACCGCAATTTCCTATCATTATCGTCTCATCTTGCTTCCAGTTTAGGTATTGTGAAGTCTTCCTCATTGGTCATAGTTATTTCATTTGGACCATTTTGATAGAATCCCAAATACCTTTTCCAACGGAGTTGACATGAACGCACAAGTTCTTTTCAATAGCCATAGTTTTCGCCAGTGAAAATTGGTGCTCTATTGTATGCATAATCATGAAAAACATATGGTCTCTCATGTGCTTGTGTTATTGAAAAAAAGGTGAAACTTGGTAGTCCGATAAGAATGAATGAGGTTTGCACTCGTTGGAAGAGGCTTAGGTTTGATGATAATGGTGTCATGAAAGACGGTAAATCGAATATCTCTATTTTGACTGAATGAGAATTGATACAAGAGAGATTTTTAAAAGTTGATGACAACATGAAACATCATATAAAGGAACAATTAAGGAAAATTGCTTATTCAGAAACCACTAAATTTAAACTACCCTCTCAACCGGTAAAAACAAAAGGTGCTCCAAAGAAACTCAAGCCTACACCGAGTGCCAATTCAATAGTGAAGTCTCATTCGTATTTTGAACATGTTGAAAAAGTTTTTCCGGACTAACCAATTTCAAAATATAAAAAAATATTTGGAGCTCACATTAGCAAACTACTTCCTACGTTGCCTCTACTAAAGAATTTATTCATTAATGAGATATCAATTTTTATGCACAAATACATCGAGTGGATCATCAATATTGAAGGGGATAGTAATTGAGGTTATAGAACTATTTTGGCTTTAATCGATAAAGGAGAAGATAATCATACACTTGTCTGCCATCAACTTATCCAAGAGTTGAAGACTCATAAAGAATCATACACACGGGTGTACGGAAAGAATTTTTTTTTGATGAAGTTTATGAGTCTCTTGTTTCTTGCCTTAGTGGACCAGCAAGGAAGGAAAAATGGATGCGCTTCCTTGAAAATGGGCCACCTCATAGCATGTGTGTATGATAAAGTATGTGTTTATCTGACATGATATGGTTTTTCAAAAACCTTTTTCCCACTGCTACCACCGCATATCAAACATCAAATGATCGTATTATGTGTATCGGGTAGCTTTGAAAATTATGACATTTTATTCAAGTTTACTTGAAACCGGAATGCCCTGTACCACTTACATCACCAGAGTGGACGACTCATTCAACAATAAAAATCGGGACTTGGCCGAACCATTTTATGGAAGAGATGCAAAAGTTTGAGAAATTGAGCAACATTGAAAGAAAGCCAAATGCACAAAAGTCAAAGGGGGTACCACCCATAGATTTAGCCAGCGACAATTGTTTCGATTCATTTTAATTTTCTGTTTAACCGGACAAATAAGTGTATGTAATTGTGTCTCAATATTAATGAAGTGTAATATATTCAATTTCTTAATAATTTACTACATTTTCTTTTATCTTTTCCATAACATTTGTTTATTTGTCAAGAAAATGTCTTCACTTAATATATGTTTTCAAAGGTTTTGTTTTCTACATATTCAGTTCAGGAGAGGTTCCAGAGATGCATCTCTGAAACAAGATAATATGGTACAGAACAAAGATATATCTCCGCAATAAGCATGCCAGATTTTGAATGGTGCACATTTGTCTACAACTTCTATGAATTAAAGTGCTCTTGTTTTTTATTTCACACAAACTGAAAATGTCTCAAATGTCACAAATGAACATTATCTGGTTTGTCACAAATGTCTCCTTCTCCAGCGTGACACCTGGACGAAAGATTAAGCTCAATGAGTGCACATCTCTTGCAGATATTAAATACGAAATCCATAATCTCCTACCTTACGGAGACAATCGTAGGATTGTGAAGTTCAAATATCGTTCGCCGTCGATTGACAACAGAGGGAAGATTGAGTTCAACAACTTTGAGCTTAAGACAGATGCAGTTGTAAGGGCTATGTGGAAAACATATATGAATTTCGAAACAAAAGTTTCACTCGAATTGGAAGCAACAATTTCATCATCAATCGAAGATACTGTGAAGATGTTAAAGTGTCTACTTGGATATTGAAGTGTAATGTTACATTTTATGTTAAAATCATCTATGTAATACTTATTTTATTTTATTTTATGAATGTTAATTTTATTTTGTCAAATTACAAGTTTTTAGTTTCTGTTTCTGCTACTGGTGTGTAAACGTTATGAAATTGCATCTAAGAAAATATACCGGAGATGCATCTCTGGTATTAAAAAACTCAATTAATAGGGCATCACTCAGAATGACATACGTTGAGTGTGTATTGAGTGCGTAAAAAGATGTATCTCCAAAATCTAAAAGACATTTTAATATTTTCGCGTGGTGTGTAAGTAATATATATGATACATTAAGAGATTTCCTCAAATTAGAGTCCATCTACAAACAAGAGATTTTAATCCAATCCACACAAAATCCAAACTCGCCATGAACTAATCCGTTATTTGTCCGATAGCCTATTTTCCTCGGTCAACCTCCACCCTAGGTCGCCCTACTTTTAAAACAAATTAAACTAAATGATTTTTTTTTTAAATTTAATTAAAAATTTCGACTAAACGCCTCAAATAAATATTTAACAAATAAATCAAACTAATATAATTTTTTTAACATCCATGTATATATCACTAGTAAAATATATATACTTAAAAATAAAAAAAGCTTCCAAGTAAGCTATTTATCTAAACATGCTTTCCTAATCATTTTAATCAATAAATATCATGAACACAACGTTCTAAAAGTCTTTTTTTTTTTCAAAAGAAAATTTAAAATTACAAACCGAAAAAAAAAGAAAAAAAACCTTAGATTACAGAGAAACACTTCACACCACAGCGTTTGCAGAGAGATTAGATTTTGTGGCAAGAATCACCACCACCTATTTTCTCGTTCTGTTTTTACACTTTTTTCTATTTCGACAATTTTCCCTAAATTCTAGGGTTTTATTCTTGTCCTCTTTTTCCTTTTCTCCCTCTTCTTTCTCCATTCTTTCCCTTTTCCCTTCTCAATTCGTATAATTATTCACATTTTTTCATTAGACAACCTCAGTCTAACAGATTTAAGCTCAAAGTTTCAAGTTTTCTGATTATTACAACAAAAGGTTTTCAAATTATGATTTTTTTTTTATAATTTTTAATTTTGTAGAATTTTGAATCTCATCTATAAATATCAGATTTTTCTCACCTAATCTAAATGACCCAGGTCCTCAAAATGGACCCTTTCGTTGTTTCAGTTTCAGATTAGTTTAATTGTTTATTTCTCATTTGAAAAGGTCCTTCCTTTTTTTCAATTTTCAATACATTAACATTAATCCCTTTGTGCCATCAATACATTTAACCCCTTTGAAAAATGTATGGAACAAAAGGCAAAATTGATCTTGCCTTTGAATACCAATCTCAAGCATCAATTTTGAGGCCTAGTATTCATTCTAGAAGAGCAAATCTGACTGTGAAATTCCAAGACCTTTATGGATTTACGGTCGAAGGGAATGTCGATGATGTTAATGTGTTGAATGATGTTAGGGAGAAGGTGAGACAACAGGGTAGAGTTTGGTGGGCTTTAGAGGCTAACAAAGGTGTTAATTGGTATCTTCATACAACCATAGGACAAGGGAGCGCTCTTACTTCTTCATTGAAATTCTCAGCTTTGGCTAATGCTATTACTTTGAAGAAGCTGATAAGGAAAGGGATTCCACCTGTTCTTAGGCCTAAGGTTTGGTTTTCGTTGTCGGGTGCTGCGAAGAAAAAGTCCACCGTTCCTGATAGTTATTATGATGATTTGACAAAAGCTGTGGAGGGGAAGGTCACCCCTGCTACTAGACAGATAGATCATGTGAGTTTTTCGCCTTTTTTGTTTATGATCATCATCACACAATTTGGGGTTTGATTACTTTGATCATGTATTTAGATCATCACACAATCGAGATTAACGATTTGGATAGAAGCATGGTCCTGGATAGAACATGATGACGCAGGTTGATCCATGTAGCCGATCCCATTTAGTGGGATAAGGCTTGGTTGTTGTTGTTATTATTTGTGTGTAGCATCGTTCATATGGCTTGTTTGTTTCCCTTTTATTTGACATGTATTTGCAGTTAGCTGTGTTGTTGATCATCTCCACAATTGAAATTGATGGGGGGATTCACATTGTCTATACTTTTGCATTGTTGATTTTGTGAATAGTTTTTCGGGCAAATCTTGCTGCAGATTATTTATGATCTTCACAGGGTTGACTTTCATATTTTTCGGCCCGATGTGCAAAATTTATCATTTATGTATAACAACGAGAGTTAAGAAATATTCATGAGTGGTGAAACATTTGCAAGCTCTATCTATATGTACAACCAATAAGCCGTATTAAGTTTTCGGAGGCCCTGTGCCACGGTTTAATTGTGGCAAGCTCTTTTTAACCATGGTATAACCGTGTCAAATATTAGGCCCTATGCGGTAGCTCGCCCTTAAAGACAGCCCTGATTACATACTGATCAGAAAAACATATGAGCTTGTATGGTCCTCTCCTCAATGCAGTTTAAAGATTCGAGACCAACTTTATATATTTTGACTATTTGGGATATCGATGCTATTTATTTACTTATCCAACAGATGTGAATTCCATTAGTTGCTAGATGCAATCTTTAATTCGTGTCTGTTTGAGAGTACTTTGAATTTATTCTGATTCTAATTTGTTTTTCATACAACAAATTTACAGGACCTACCAAGAACTTTCCCGGGTCATGCTTGGTTAGACACTCCCGAGGGGCATGCTGCTCTTAGGCGTGTTCTTGTTGCGTATTCTTTCCGTGATTCTGAAGTTGGGTATTGTCAGGTGCGTGCAGCTCTGATCTCCTTTTTTTGAAGTTTTTTCCCTTGCTATATACATGAAAGACAGTGCTTGGAAATGTTGAATTTGACTCGACTAAATGCCCCATGTTTGCTCCAGGGTTTAAATTACGTTGCAGCACTGTTGTTGTTGGTCATGAAAACCGAAGAAGATGCATTCTGGATGCTTGCTGTCTTGTTGGAAAATGTCCTGGTTAACGACTGTTACACAAACAACTTATCGGGGTGCCATGTTGAACAAAGAGTGTTTAAAGATTTACTTACTAAAAAGTGTCCGAGGTAATATTTTTACGCCACATGTTATGTTAACTATGTATCGTGTTTATTTCTTAGTAAAAATTCTGAAAATTGCCGAAATGGAAATGCAGGATTGCGACTCATTTGGAAAGTTTGGAATTCGATGTTTCCCTTGTTACCACTGAGTGGTTCCTTTGCCTGTTTTCCAAGAGTTTGCCTTCGGAGGTTAGTTTGAATATTACAGCAAAAAAATTAGTACATTTGAAATGTTAAATTGTTCGACGTACTAATACTTTATTTTTTGAATCAGACAACGCTACGAGTATGGGATGTTATTTTCTACGAGGGGGCTAAGGTTATATTTAACGTCGCCTTGGCAATTTTTAAGGTACAATTGGTGTTGTAATAGCTTTAGCTCATTTTCGATCTAATACAACACTAAAACATTTCAACAATTTTCACCTCTTATTGCAGATGAAGGAAGATCAACTAATCATAACTCATCATGTTGGAGAAGTAATCAATGTTCTGCATACGACGACTCATCACCTATTCGATCCAGATGATTTACTAACCGTAAGACAAATTTCAGTATTTCTCAGATGAATCATATCTTTGTCGACTATGGTTTCCTTGTTATCACTCTTTTTCATGTTTGCAGGTTGCATTTGACCAGATAGGTTCGATGACGACAAATACGATATCTAAACAAAGGAAGAAACAGGAACCTGCAGTGATGAAGGAGCTTGATCAAAGGATAAGAAGGCTAAATTCCCTTAAAGTGGATGAAAAATAATAATAACAATAATCTTTTGATTTGTCTTTCTTTTTTCTTTTTGGTTTCTTTTCAGACATTGAAATGTCTAGTTTTAAATCTGAAATATTTCGGAACCGCCGTACTTAGTACAGTTGGTTGATCAATCTGCTTCGACGACGACGGCGGGCAGAACATTGAATCTATGGAATCCTTTATATCCTTCACAGGGCATGATGATATGAGCCTTGGTGTTTTTCAGGATGTTTGTAGGTGATTATATATAAGTGTACATTTGAATATGGAAACATTATAAACTATTATTTAATTTTATAATGTGTATTATTTAAAGAATTAATGGAATATTTTTCTATTAATTTAATAATAAAATAAAAATTTTAATAAAAAAATATTTTAAAATTTTGAAAATTTCAACATGACATAAATATAAAATAAAGTTACTCCTATTACAATCTAACATACTTCTCAAACAGCTAATCAAGAGAAAACATAGAATAAATGGATCATCGACTTCTCAAGATATTGTATATTCATTACTAATTGTATTAACTGTTTACAAAGCGAGAGTTAGAGTACTTGTCATCATTAAACAAACATAATATTATAATTGAGGGGTGTACAAAATCCGATTGATTTAGTTGTGATACTAATTATAAAATTAATTAACTAAGTTAACGATTAACAAGGAATATAATAAAAGCGATTAAGTTCTCATTCTAATCCTTTGTCATTTTCATGTGATTAATCCACACTTGAATCTTTAACAAGTTTTTCTATTTCACGTCTATTTTACAAAACATAGTTATTTAAAAAATCCATCGACAAATAATTTACTTAGTTTGATCCAACTCCATAAAGATTCTGAAAATTTTTAATTATAATTGTTACATACTAGAATCAGAAATAGAGAGGATTAAAAGTGAGGGTGGTTCTGAGCTTCTAATACAACGAAGAGGGAGTTGATCTGTAAGGTTAACACTTCAACGCTTAAGTCACTATGTGAGGGAGAATAGTGAATTGAAATTGAATTTGAAACTTGTTATCTAAATTTGACGTCTTCTCTATATATAGTAGAGATGGGATAACGAACTCGCTATTTTGAAAGAGCGAATGGTGACGTTCAAGTTGCTTTGGAATTCATGCATTTAATGCACCATACTTCAAAGGTCTTTTAGAGATGTCATCATTATGGTTCTTGAAATCTGAAACACTTGAGTATAATGTGCGAGTTATTTGACACGTTTGAAAGAATCTACTTCTTAACGCATGCTAAAGTATAGTTCTAGAAGAGTCAGTGCCGTTTTTCTTTGCATCATTTTCTCAGTTTAGCAGTTATCATCTTCTTTGATATTTCGTTTTCCTGCATCTGAAAAGTTAGTGCATTATGAATATAAAAATCACAGAAGAATTACAAAAAATCTAACAAAACTGCTTTATCTTCTTGGATGGACATGTTTATTCTTCTACTGACACCGACAAATGAACAACCGTAATAATTTACATCTAAGCGATTTGAATTGATATAACTCAACCATTACAAAACAATCAAATGTATAAACTTAGAGGATTTCTTAAAGCATCTTTTATGTTTCTTAGCCACCATATGAAATTACTTAAATGCTCCCAAGTTTCAGAGATGCATCTCTAGATGCATCAAATTTTGATTGAACGTTGAAATATTCTAGAGATGCATCTCCATAATAATTTAAAACAGGCTATGCATCACACTCAGAATCCATTATGCACGTGTATCCTATCGAAGATTCATCTCCGTGAATTTTGTGGAGATATATCTCTGTAACGTATCAAAACATTACTTTTCATGTTATGTTTTGTTTACGTGAATTTAGATGCAAATTTAAACCATACCATACAATCGAAATTAAAAAAAAAAGTACATAAATCCATATGATCCAAAAATACCATATATAAATAAAAGACTAATAAGTGTCAAAAATGACATACAATCGAGAACAATGATAAAATGACATGATGTCAAAATAAAATACAAACCATAGTACAACTAGATATACTAATACACTATTGTGCATGTCTGACTACCTCTCCTCTGTCTCCTTTACCTCCTCAGCCATCAATCTCCTTCGTTCTTCATCGTTGTCTCCGATACATCAATGTCCACCGTGCCTCTATCATGATGGGATCTAGGACCTGCCACACATCAGATCCATCAGAGAAGATACATGTGTCAATGACTGCATGCACAATCTCCACTATGCAATGACATCTAGACAAGACATCTTCAACATGATCTAATAGTTCTTATTCTTCCTCTAGTATCTCCTAGAACAGCCAACATCATATACAGATGTGACACCCTAAAGAACCATTTGATATACCCTTCGACATAGCTCCAGTCGCTCTCATCTATGGTACTTTGTGCCTCCTTCGGTATCAAATGACTCTCATAATCATATAACATGTCATCTCTGTGTACATGTCAAGGCAGGAGGAGCAGAGACAACATGGTGTCTAGGAATGGTCTGAGTGTAGACGAGCAGTCGCATGATGCGCTTGAGAAAATGAGGCGCGATCCGCGGGCCAACCATCCATAGTATAACATTATCTCGTAAAATTTTCGCGTTTCACGGTGATCAATATATCTGTTGAAGTGCATGTCCTCAGCAACCAAACGGTCAAGATAGACTATGAAAGACTCGGTCGCCTGATTTCCTCTGAGTAGGGAAAAAGAAGTAACACACAGCATATCCTCAGTGTAAGTCAGTACACTCGCCCAACCGGAGATACGCAGGAAGTGCTGGAGTATCCAAGTCTGAAATGAAAATTTTGGAACACACGAATTATCAGTAATGGCTATGCATAGATGAAATGAAAATGACAAAGAAACATTCAAAGACAAATAATTATTATCGTCGGTAGAGTGACGCTGCCTATGACCTACTCCGTTTTCTACATACAACCCTCTATCAACTTCAATTACAAGTAGACCAAACAAGCGGCCTCCAATTGTACTCATGGATCTGCTCGAAATCTTCAAAGTATCGTAGGTGACGACGTCTATATAAGTGACACTCTTGTCTACATAAATCATAGTGCAAACCAAATATAATAGATATGGTCTCATAGTATGCGGTCTGTGGAGTGTCATCTGCTCATCATTACCTTTAGCCCGTTGTGCTCTCAGGATCTCAATCGTATTTATGTTCTTCAAGTATTCAAATCTAGCATGAGCACCCCTGGATTTATCCAACTCCTCCTTCGTCTCCCATGGATAAACCCTTAGATAGTCTACCATCATCTCGAGTGCTTCGTCTTTGGTAATCCTCCTATGATCTAGAAGTATCCCCCTGATAGAAAGATGTAGCACACACGAGACATCGTCGAGTGTGATAGATATCTCACCATGCTGAAGATGAAATAACGAGGTCTCCGAGTTCCATCTCTCCACGAATGCATTCAACATTCCGTAGTTGACCGTAGTATAACCGGTCATGCACATGTTCTTTAGGCCAGATAAGAACAAAATTGCCTGAAACCAATCCTCATTCAGCTGAGGCAAGCCAGTAATCTTCCGCATGTGGTTAATAAACTTCTAAGGGTCACACTCTTGAAAAAAAATAAAAAACAAGGTAAAAAATTTATCAATTAAAATTAACATAAATAAAAAATAATAACTCCAACTAATTGATCATCTTCGTCCCATATATATATATATATATATATATATATATATATATATATATATATATATATATATATATATATATATATATATATATATATATATATATATATATATATATATATATATATATATATATATATATATATATATATATATATATATATATATATATATATATATATATATATATATATATATATATATATATATATATATATATATATATATATATATATATATATATATATATATATATATATATATATATATATATATATATATATATATATATATATATATATATATATATATATATATATATATATATATATATATATATATATATATATATATATATATGGAAGTATGGTCTAGATACAAAGGCAATAATGATAAATCAATATGACCTTCTCCAAATGCCTCTGACTCAGCATCCACAATAGCCCCGTCTTCCGGAGGTGGCACTGGATCAACATCACAACAGTAGGAGGTGAGACATACTTAGAAGCATCTACAGTATGAGATGACACTTGTCAATCGGATACCTCAGGCACTCGAATAAGAGAAACCTAATGCTCGCGGATGATTGAATGAGAGATGTGTCATTAGGTGAATCACGTCTCCTACGGGAAAAAGAAGATGGAGTAGCATATGGAGAAGCACGAGCCCCAAAAATAGACGACTCTGCATAGCCAAAATGAGCCTCCGAAACCTGCTGACTCTTCTCCTGCCGCATTGATGTGTGTTGAGCAACTCTCTCGTGCCTCAGTTTATTCTGTCTATCAGCCACTATACTTGTAAGTTAAAATAAAGTAGACAATTAGTGCAGCCAAACAACACCACAAGCAAGAAAATAAAAAAAAAATACTGAGAAAATTATGAAGATTCATCTCTGGAATTTGAGAAACTAAAACGTTGAAAATTTTCAAAAATGCATCTTTGAAATTTTCTGCAACTCAGAAGTTGTGTCAATGGCATCAATGTACCCCATGCAATTCCACAAAAAAAAAGCATGATTTGATCATCCTTTTTAGCCAAAAACGTTTAATGCACTATGTTTAAACTATCATAAATGCAATTTCTACTCATTTTTTTATTTTAATCATTAATTTCTACTCATTTACACAAAAACTCAAAAATTTATCAAAAATTCAAAAAACTTACAAGAAATTGTTGTTTTAGATGTTTTTGATATTAATTGAGGTTGCCTTGAACTTTGTTGATTGATTTTAATTTGGTGAAGAGAAAAAAGTTGAGAGTTTAAAATTGTTTTTGTGGAAAATGAGAAATGAAGAAAGAGAATGGTTTGACGCGATTTAACTTTTCAAAATCTTTCAGAGATACATCTTTGAAATAT